TGAGTCCTACACGACACCTGCCAATGTGTGGCCTCGCAACTCATAGCCATAAATCGGTATTAACCTAGATTTTAAACCGACTGAATTTAAAAATATTCATACAATGAAATAACTATATTTTTTATGGAATGGCAAACAAGCTGATAGGTAAACCACTTTATAGAAAGTAATATCCGTCGTCATGCATTGTTATTCCTGTGAATTAAAATCGTGTAATTTCACTGCTATTACTTATCTTTTGAACCAAAACATAACTTAAAAAGCAAGGTGGTTGGTGCTAGAGGTAGCAGAGATAGAGACAGCCAGACAAATGACTTTGTTTGTTGTTTGAAATTTACATCCGTTAATAGTTATGAACAACTCAACGTAACATTTAATCCCAAACTAAAGAAACTGAACTTAAATATCTGATAACAAAAGACACATAATATAAATAGAAACTACTACACCAATACAAACACATACTCCTGTATATAAATATTTGTATTGTGCGGGGATTGAAACCGCAAACATCGGAAATTAAGACAATGCTTAACAACTGAAACTTCGTAGTTTTTTATGTTACTAGTCTGGAAAACATGCTGACGTTCCACCTGTTGGTAAGCAGTTACTCACGAATGGCCAATCCGAAGATCTAAACTGTAATGCCTTTATGCAGTAATTTCTGTAGTATTCAATGCAGAGGTCAGGAGTTAGCATGTAATCATGAGATTATATAAAATGAGAGAAAACTAGAGTACGTACGATTATAGAGGTTGTACTTAGAAAGGATAAGTATTTATTGTAAACTAGCTTCTTGCCCCTGCTTCGCACAGGGGTATATGTATTATATATATAACCCTTCCTCTTGAAACACACTATCCATTAAAAAAACGCATCAAAATCCGTCGCGTAGTTTTAAATATTTAAGCATACATAGGGACGGACAGACAGCGACAGCGACTTTGTTTTATACTATGTAATGATAGTTTAAAGAAAAGCAACCTACTATGTATGTATACCCCACGTATATCTAGCCAGCAAAAGTGAAATAATCTAGTGGGAAGATTGATATATCTGTACCGACCCATTTACGTCTCACTGTAGGGCGCAGGCCTCTCCCAACAACGAGAGGAAATTACTTATACTACCACAATGGCTTCAATAAGAGTTTATTTGAAGCTTTCCTTGTTTAAAGATACACAAGGAACTAATAATCTATATGATACTTTATTAACTTTTGTTATTTTATAATTAAGTTTTATTTGATATTACTTTGTCTCTTTGTGAATTAATGTTTCAAATATAAATTGTAGGAGGAATTACAATGAATTTTCTCTAGATTTTCAAAGACAATTTTCGCTAGAATATGTTATTAAATATGGGTTAATATAAAGTCCATAGAAAGTTGGAAAATATAGGTACATCCAAAAGAAGGCAATAATAAATATTGTAAATATTTTTAAGACAATGTGATTATTTAATTCATAAATCAAATAATAGATAGCGATGAACTAGTGTCGTGTACATTGGTTCATCGCGTTCAAAATCGGCCTTCATTAGTTTATATTTTAATATGGAAAGCTCCGAGACACTACTAAAATATAACAACCAAATTACAAATTTGTTCAGCATTGATTCAATTAATTTAACTACGCCCGCTACTTGATTAATGCTGATAGGATTTGTGGGGTGACTTAGTGGGCGATTACGTTTTGTTCAATTGAAGTATTTCACTAATTACAATTTGTTTAATCTCAAAATAGCGACAGTAATTACATTGCAATACGAAATGTATAAAGTTAACAGTTTATTATTCATTGCAATAAAAAAATCTATGGATAATTGTTGATTATGTTCACAAATATTCACGAATCAAAAACATACTGAAGGTCTTTTAAAATAAGATCTTAAACTATTCAGTTATCATAAAATAGTTTAATATAAAGAAATGATAAACCAAATAAAAAAAATATGTTAGTGAAAACTAAATTCATCGAAAACCATGAGACATAAGAAACTATTAACCATGAATAGTAGTAAATTAAAATAAAACTTTTATCAATTATATAGGCCTTCTAGCGAACACAGAATCATCGTAATAGGGATAAATTATATAAATTGAATATTAATATGATCTGAAAAATATTGATAACCTGTTTTTGTACAATAATACTTGATATCAAGTAAACATATAACATAATATGGATAATATGATATATATGTATCTAAACAGATCCATGAACCGTGACAATATTAGATAAACAACTGAATCGATACTAATTCCCAAGACGAGTTAGCTGTAATACTAATTTATTATTACTACAGATGACATATTACATACTATTACTAAGAACCATGTATTTCATTTAATACTTTTTAACCTGCACCCGGCATTGAAAATAGATATTGTTTAGTACCTTCCTTTCTGAAGACCCTACCTATAATATTTATTTTAAAGCATTACTACTTCTATTATAATTATCATTTTGTCAACCGACATCAAAAAACCTCCTTTTTGGTGTTTAAAAAGAGTTTACAATTTGACTGGATTTTTTATGTGTTATTCGGAATATTACTTCGGATTTTTTTCTAGACAAAACGATTTTCAATATTCCTCTTTTATTTGAAAGCTGATGCTTCGTATATGGTTCTGTATAAATGAGCAAGATTTGACTAGTAGTTTTTGAGTCATTCTTAGTAATCCGATTAAAGTCGCTTTTTCCGTGCATGATCTTAGAGAAAATATTAAACAGGACAGTCGGATGGGCTGTACGAAAAATATTATGCATAATAAAAAAAAATTGTGTCAAATATAACGCAGATACGGATCAATAGAAGAAAATATACTACACCTGAAACAAAAGATTGAAAACAAAGCAACGATGGACATTTTACTGAAGAAAGGCTTTCTTATCTCAAAAGTCCACAAAATTAATGTCATCTTGACATCAATATATAAATAGATACGTAGTATTCAGTATATAGATTACAATACTAAAATAAATAAATTCCAGTACAATTAGATTATTTTTATACGTCGTAACAAATGTAGGGAAGGTAAGAAATGTAGGTAGGGAATCGTTGTGGTATAGATGTTATGTCTTTCCACCATGGTTGGTATAAATGCTGAAGATTTACGTTTTTTTTTCTCGAGTATATTAAAAAAAAATTCAAAATTCAAAATTCAAAAATCATTTATTCATGTAGGACATTTTAGCCGCTTATGAACGTCAAATTTTTACATTATAATTTTATTTTTTTCCCTACCGTCCAGTTCGGTATATAGATCCAATTGAGAAGAACTGGCAAGAAACTCAATTGAATTACTTTTTTTTTTTAAAGCCAGTTTATTTACAATGTATATTTATATATATGTCTAACATTAAATGAAAATTCAGTGCATGAACAACTATTGCCATGCACACTCGTCATTCAAGTAATCGTTTAGTGAGTAATAGGCTTTGCTCAGTAAATATGATTTAACAGATGTTTTGAATTTATTTAAGGGTAATTCCAACATATCCTTTGGTATCTTATTGTAAATTTTTATACCTATTCCCATAAAAGACCTATTAACTTTTTCTAAACGATACTTGGGGACAGCAAGTTTGTCTTTAAATCTTGTATTAATATTATGAATATTGCTGTTTTTTGGAAATAAGTCAAGATTTTTATGAACATATAGGATATTCGAATATATAAATTGAGAAGCAACGGTGAGAATATTTGCCTCTTTGAATTTCTCTCTTAATGAGTCACGATCGCTCGAACGGCACGTTTTTGTAATATGAATATATTTTTAATATCTGCCGCTTTTCCCCATAGTAATATTCCATAAGAGAGTAAACTATGAAAATAACTAAAATAGACTACTCTGAAATCTACTGTCTAACCTTACGCACGGCAAAAGCTGCTGAACTTAGTTTCGCTGCAAGGCTTTGAATTTGTGCTCCCCATTGTGTTTTATTATCTAGTGTGATTCCTAGAAAGACAGTAGATTCTATAAATTCGAGAGATTCGTCATTTAATTTAATATTGCAATTAGTATTAAAACTTTTAGACAGAGAGAAATTAACACATTTTGTTTTTTTAGCGTTTAACATAAGATTGTTAGTTGTAAAACAGTGCAGGAGACGCCGCAAAGCACCATTTACATCGTCATAATTATTAGTCATTCTATTAACTTTAAAAATCAATGAAGTATCGTCTGCAAATAATACTATGCCGCATCTATCCTGCATGGCATATGGGAGATCATTAATGTAAACTAGGAATAAAAATGGACCGAGAATAGATCCTTGAGGTACACCCATTTGCACAAGTGACCGGTCAGACGTAGCGTTGCTAACCTTCACTTTCTGTATTCTATCAGATAGATAAGATTTTATTAAATTTAAAGCATTGTCTTTGACGCCATAAAAAGCAAGTTTTTTAGCAATGTATTATGATCAACGCAGTCAAAAGCCTTAGAAAGGTCACAAAAAACACCTATCGCATCCATTTTAGTTTCCCATGCAGCAAATACGTGTCTAAGCAACTCTGCACCTGCGTCTGTAGTTGAACGACCTCTATAGTATCTTTTAAGAAAAGAGAGCAGTAAATAAAATTTTGTGTAATGAAGAATTTTGTGTGAAGATTTAAATTAAATTATAAAAGAAACATACATATATAATGAGTTTGTGTATGTGTGTATGTACATATGCATTTGTATGTTAGGAATATATATGGTTTTAGTTATGATATAATTAAAACTGTCTGTTGGGTTTCTGTTTAATTTATGTAGTTCTGTTATATGTACACAATTATATGTTTTTCGGTTTCATCGTAAATTAATATATTTGGGTAATTATTAATAATAATTTTACAATAATGTAGTAAGAGGATAGATTTTTATTTTTATCTGATTACACATTTTATTATATAGTCCGAGAACTTTTAATTGACATTAATGGCCCACTACAGTTAGCACTGAGGTACATCTTAAGGGTATTCTAAAATTAGAAACCTTTCTGTTATAGGTGGTCTACAATGGAGACGAGAGCTGATGATGATGAAGCGCCAACAGATCCCGCGGCAAGAAAACATACTCACCATGATTACACTGAACAGGATTTTGAAGGTGAGTAAAGATGGAATGACGACAACCCGATTAAGGACAATAAAATGTCTAATAACTTTCCATACATATTAATTTCTTTCATTCATTATATATTATACAATATTTATTTTAGTTTCTAGGGAGAGATAGGTATTATAGTGAAATTCCTGGATATAAATGCAAGATATCTTAGTATACAGGAAGGGCAATAAGTCACGAATATATGTAATATCTGTAATCATAGTCATCACTTTCTCACAGGTAGCCGTAGTTTTTATTAAATTTATTAAATGTATATCCTTATTTATTTTTATCATAGTTTTTTCTTAATAAAGTAATAACATTAGGATAGAAGAACATATAACTATTCGGCGCTCAAACATAGAACAGCACGGAATTTATAAATACATTATACATGTATTTAAAAAGATATTTATAACTTTAACAGGTGCATTATCGATGATAAAAACCTAATTGTCTTTAAAAATAGCCTTATATATTGATACGTTACGCAATTGCATGACGTTTAAATAATATTCCTTGTTGATTTGGTACGTGGAATATTCGTATGTTTACAATAATGAAAAAAACGTATATATTTGCGACTTTGACGCGATTTTTTTGGTAGCTCTCCTTTGGCACGATGTTCGCTCGATTGATCAGTTGTTTCGGGGTAAAACTCGTCTCGTCTCTAATATTGTTTCATCTTGTCCTGATAGTCTCATCGTTTCACACAATTCAACGCGACGCCTTTTTTGATTCAATGTTTTTGGTAATAGATACAGTTTGAGCACAAAACATCCTTTAAAATGGTATTGACTAGCCTATTGATATTTCAGAGGTCTCTAATCGTTAATCGACGGTTTATCAATAAATCTTTATTTTATGAGCTTCGTAAATATATGGTCGCCCAACGCTCTTCATTTATTATTCTTAATATCTCAATTTTTTTTGACTCATCAAAAAGCTTTCTGCACCAGCTCAATATGCTTCATTGCAAACAAAATTTTATGCAAAATCTTTGCTCAACAAATTTCGACATCAAAAAACGAAAAAGACTTTTGGTCACAAAACTTTATAAATTAATTAATATTTTATAAATTGGACATGTGTAACATCTACTATATAATATAAAAACTTGTTACAGTTTAAATTCAAATGTACTTAGCCTTTTTGACATAAATATTTTTTCTTAAAAATATAAATTTATTAAAACATATCATTTCAAAATATTAGCACGGAATTTATAAATTTTACATGTATTTTATTATAACTTTGTGTATGATGATCCTAATAAAAATAGTTATATATTGGTACAGGCATTGTTAACGTTAATAACACCTATTTGGTACAATATTGTATGTTTACAAAATGAAACGTATATATCTGTACTTACGTAGTTTAAGTCTTTGTAAAACTCGACTTTCTTATTGATTCCATCTATAAACATCTCAATGTATCTCTTATTTAATTTTGAAATAGATACACCAATAAGTCTACTATTGTATTTCTTAGACTTATGTTATGTACAATAAATATTTTATAGTAAATATATTACCCCAAAACATTTATTATTCTTAATATCTCAATGACTAAAAAATTTCACAGACAGCTAATTGCTATTCTGTTATCTGTATCAAAAAGATTTGGTCTTTATAAATTATTTTAAGCTTATATTGATACCGAGTATATGTGTAACATCTACTATATAACATAATAACTTGTTAATATCCACAATTACTTAGCCTTAGTTGAATAAGATGTTAAAATACAATTTATTAAAATCATTCAAAATATTATATTATTTTCTTATTTATGGGATGTGTAGATAGAGATAGAGTTCCAAAGCCATTGTCATTATGAGGTTTTAACAATATTATTATGATCACAAAGACTTGTCTAGTAGTCATTTTTTATGTCAAGGAAATATGGTTCTTGTGCTATCCATCTATAAACATCTGTATGTATCTCTTATTTAATTTTGTAGAAACCAATCAAGAAATTTTTTATTTTGCAATTTTCTTTATATCTTCTTTTTTTTAATAAACCTGGACAATTAACACAGCACTATCTAAAGATTCATGTGAATAAATGTGCATAATGTACTTATGTATGTCTTTAGATCTTCACAATCCATTGAATTTGCTCGATGACCTCCATTTTATAGGCCATTGGATCTTAATTAACTGAAACGAGTAATCGTATTTCAGCTGCTAATGAAGTAAGCTTCCACTGGTATACAAACCAGCCTCATTTAGTATCATGCATTTAATTACAGGCTCTACATACTAATGTTGATAGTATTTGTCGTGAATATCAGTTAATTCGATACAAAAGCATTTAGTGATAAATATACGACTTTTGACGATAGATAATTAATCGATTTTTTGTAACAGATATATAATTGTATGAATTAGTAGTCAGATAAAGTGGCTATCTAGTCAAAGTTTAAAAGTCTAAAGTCAGTCAGTCGAGTATATTTAGAATTTATCTATCCATTATAAACAAGTATACAAAAAAAATAATCATGCCCATTCACAAAATTAGTATGGACATAATATATTATATGGCTACATGTTTAACACAGTGTCACCCGCAAAAACTCATATCCCAAGAAAAATGAGTAACTCTGCGAGAGAAACTCCGATTCCTATGGGAATATCCAAAGATCCTTACTTAATGCTCTTTTGCGATAAATAAGATACTATGGAAAAGTTCGACATTTACTGTAAGTAATTTTATCTTCTACATATCTTACTTTTTGCTTATACTTTGTAGAAGGTTACCAAGATAGATAGTATCCTAATACGCCTACAGGTTTGTTTTTTTTTTTCGGAATACCTTTGCTGTTGGCTGCAGCGGGCCTTTACAGCTTCACCAGGCAATAGGGGGCGAGTGCCTGATAAATACGACTTTAGTCTGAGAGCGCCGCTAGGAGTTCAAACCTCGGCTCAAGTCGTCATAATTTCGGTCCCCATTTGAATTGGAGAGGGGAATCGATCACGGAGCTGATCTGGATCGCATCGTGCACATATAACCAAATGGGGGCCGATTTCACATAGTGTGCCCGCTGATCTGTTTTTACATCCAACACCACCATTCGTGTGTATATCTATTTAATCCTGCTCATTCCAAATCATACGTAGTATACCGATTTACATTGCTATTGGCCGGTGAAAATTATCAAATCAAACTAATTTTCACATTAAATATTTAAGGGAACACACGAATTTTGTTATGACAAAAATTAATTCCAGAGTCACAAAATTCTTTGAATATTTAGAAGGTACATTATTTCAAAGTTATATATTATGTTAATATATGTATACAATACAAACAAAGTTATGTTTGTTGGCTAATTAAGTCTAAAGAAGAGAAATCAGGTACTGAGCACTAGTAATATTAATATTCAGCATTTCCAATAGATTTCGCGTAAAATCCAAATAAGCTTTGTTTGTGTCACTAATTCGATCATTCTCAAAAGACAACGAATTAACTGTTTTACCAAACCTAATATCGTCTAACAAAGGCTTTATTCGCTCTATGTTCCGAGCCCTCTTGAAGTTAGTGATAAAGTTCCAGTAATTGAGTTATTACTCATCTGAACTGTTATACTATCCCGTCTTTATTACGCCTTTTAGCCAGGTATAACTAATAATGATTAGTTGCCGTATTCTATGAATATTAGTTTATCATTCAGGTGATAGAGAATGAATACAATTTGTCATCATTGCTTTTCATTTCAAGGATTTCGTAAAGTAAACAAGAAACAAATATATACTCGGAAAAAAGTATTTAAGGAAACCAATGGCGAATCCCATGATACCTACCATTATCCTTATTACTATATGGAATGATAGAAGAGTAATCCTTAGGTGACGAATACAACTTATAATGTCTCCTATTCATGATGATGGTACATCTCATAGGAGGATCAATACATATCAGAAAAAAAAATATTCGAAATAAAAACTTTACAAAGAACAACACAGGCTTATCAGTATAATTAGTTAATAGGATATTAAACAGCGGCATTGCAAGCGGAATTGAACGGTAAAATACAAGTAATTTAGTCAAACACATAAATTATTCACAGTCTATCTATCTAAGGTACACCACAGATAAGATAATATTAAATAGCTATACTATATAAAGATACGTATAGTCTTTATAAATATTTAATTCGTTTCTCATAAGAATTCATAATTCATAAGAATTTCTGTTAGAGTAAAAAAATAACTAATAAAATTAGAACCTGTTTTCGTCAGAATTTCAGAAATTCCATTTGCATCCGGTATTCGAAGGCATTCAGCCTTTCTCGTACAAGGAATAAATCCAATATTCCAAGTTCCTGGCATCACCAGTTTCGACTATGCATTGAGAGATCCGACAGTCAGGACAATCAGTAAAGTTCTTAATATTTATATAGATATTATGTTGACTAAACAGTGCATATTTTTAATACGTAAATGATAATATTTGTCAACCGAAAATAATTCTTCCATTAGTAATTAAGGGAAAAATGCTCCAGTTGAGCTTCTTATAAGTTCTACTAAACTTATATAGATGTCCGAGCTAGACGGTACAGATAGTGATACATAAAATTGACGCAGCACAAAATAGCCTATGTGAATATTGACTTTGACAACATATATATTTTATTATTCCTCAAGTAAACTGCTCGTTTGCCCTAAACTTATTTATTCCAATTAACTTATGAATTTAGATGCTTTTTAAAACGTAAATAGCCAAAGTTGATTTTAAATATTATAATCTATTAGATTATAAATCCTTCAAACTTTACCACAATTTTGGTATAAATTAAAATACAAACCGTGATATTCGATTTGGGATTAATGTCGTAAGTCAAACTCTCCAAGTACGATAATCTTTTAAGCTTGAGTAAGTTAAAGTCACCTAAGCTCAATAAGTTTAGTGTAGGCAGTCCTTCTATATAGTGGGCGATGAAGCTCTTTGTGGTATCATAGTACATTCATTAATAGAGAACTAGATCCCGCCCCATCTTCGCACGGGTGTTCTAATAAATAAAATTAGATTCAATCTTTCCTTTCACTACGAACATTTTTAATGTTATTTCTGTCAACATTTTAAAATAAATATATTTATATTTAATAGAAAATGTTCACAATTCTACAAAATTATTACTTTTGTTAAAACATACTATTTTATTTTGTTTAATTCTATTTCCATTAGTTTGTCTATCGCTACTAGAAGCGTTACTAGCTTCTCTAGTGAATCGAGGTCTCTCTAAACGTGGTATCAGCAGGTAATGATTATACCTTGGAAGTCTTGAGTTGACTTGGAGTCGTAGCCTAATCGCCGAACAGTCAACAGTATAGTGTTCAAAGCTATATTCATTGCCTATTAAAGCCTCGTTCAGAGAAAAATACGAGAGTAAATTCAATAACAGTCGTAATTTTATTCATTAAGTAAGGCAATTCCGTAAAACAATACTCAGTTTTATAAAATGTACCATATATAAACTTGTAAAATATATGAAATTAATTAATTAAGAGTCAAATTAATATCAACATATTTGTTATTTTCCATTGAGAGCTAAAAATATTTTTTTACTTTTCAATGGAACATTTTTATTTTTCATCCCAAGAAACGATTGTAAAAATACATTCGCAAGTTAAATATCGTGTTCATTCGAAGTTAAATTAAATTTCTGAATGAATATCAGAGACGGTGGCCTTGTCCTTGACATAACTCAACCTTCATTCCAGATTCAATTGAGGCAAGAAAAATCTTAACGTGTTTTACGCAGTTCGTGACCAACATAAGTAATAAGAGCCACTAAAAGGATTGTAATTTATTGAAATAGGATTAAGATTTCTACTTATGAATAACACATTTTTTAGGATTCAATAAGGTATAGAAAATTAAACTATATGAAATATAAAAAATTATGCGTGAATTCCTAATTAGATTGACAAAACGATTCAACTCACTGAATTAATACTTGTCGACTATATTTTTTTCTTAGTTAACTACGTTTCTAATCTATTTCGATGATTCCTTTGTTAATCGACAGAAAGTATGAGCTGTATTTCGTATTGGAATTGTCAATATTGAAATCGGCTTTTTCTTCAAAATCAATATTCATGGGTGTCTAGAAAAGCTTTGCTTTGCAAAGCTAATTTATTAGAAGATTCTTGTATTTATAATTAAAGATATGTTGATATATATAATTGAAGAAAATCGTAATATTTTTTTTACTATGGATGTGTTAATGTAGAAAATAAATAATCTGTAACAATTTGTAATAATCAGATTGAATAATTTAACTGATTCATTTATTGCTCATATCAATCTATTCAACTTCACAAAAGAAAATTATCCAATTCAAATATTTTTTTAAATGGCTAAAAGAATTTGAAATGTATTAATTCTATTCAATCTCAAATTTGAATTCGTTTTTAAACATAACAAAGCATCGTAATGCAGTAATAATTTCATTGTAAATCTTACTTTACTAAGTATATTAGGTACTTACTATATCCAACAGTACATTTTAAATGTTTAAATATATCAATATATTAATTCGTGGAATAATAATTATCATTACAAATAAGTAAAATAGTGAACATTTTAGCATTTTATTTGGAAATAGAAATTTAAATAAATTTTACAAATAATACACTACTATTATATCAAGTCTGAAAATATATCAAGTGACTATAATTACTTCGTTATTTATTTAATTCTCCGAAATAAATTATTACAAAATAAAAATCACTTTCTGAAACTGAAATCTATTTCTAAAAGAACATTAGACAAAACATCAAAAGATAAGAATGAACTAAGTTTATTTTCATAATTTAGATGTAGAACATTATAAATTACTTAGTTTACTTTATAAAGTCCAATGGAATCAAATATCTTAAGATTGAAATTTAAATGAAATACTTATAAGGTGCTGACAGACGGTAAATGTAGATTTTTATTCATTACGGATTCCGTAGAGATATCAAGTATGTCGTTAGGCAGCGAGAATTCATGATCTCTATATTGGTATTTTCTACGATAGGATAATAAAGGATATACACATATCATTTTATACTACTTACCCAAGCATTGGAAATAACAAAGAAACAAACGTCTCAATGGAAAGACAAATATATATGTATTATTTTAAATTCATAAAAGAACTGAATAAAATATAAAGAATAGCCAACAAGCTGACGACCCACTTGATTGTAAGTTTCATTGATAATGGTAATTTGCACCCGCTTAGCCTAATGGTATACGGGACATCAGTGGAGAATAGTAGGATGAGAATGAAGTCGGTATTGGCAGCATATTAATGGTGAAATTAGCAGAAATTAACCACAACAGTATCCCAGGAGTACCGCCTATAGATCGATCTGACATGGTATATTGATTAACCAGCATGCAACCATTAGCTAAATGCATGAACAGTACCATAAAGATTACGTAGGTAATCATGCCTAAGGTATCTACCACTCATAAATTGCCTTTCCGGAGGACATTAGAAGTTATGTAGGTATAACACCTACTAACTTGTTATGACAACTTGTAACTTCTCTACTATATGTCATCCTACTACCGAAACAGCTTACAAGCCTAGTTTGGTGGCTGAAATAGGTGAGCCAGAGGTAGGATACTAATTTGAACTTTTACCATGCTCAATGTAAAAGAAACGATGACATAAACAGCGATAGATAATAAAACAAAAACTAGATTAATGAACTTTTCGTTCATAATGCCATTAATTTTCAGGGCACCGCGCTCACACCGTTTTCGTGGGCGTACACGTGCCTGCCCGCCGCCACTCACACCGAAAACATAAACACCATCATCGCAATGGGGAGAAAGATGTCGACAGACCAGGTAATATAAAATTTATCATGTATGAAATAAAAAAAAATATACCAAGTTCATGTTTATTTGTGGCTAACAATATTATTACATGGAATTTGGTATTCAATATCATAATCAATACTCATTAATATGTAAATTAAAAAATCACAGGATATTACCACGTTTTGTTTATTGTTAATGCCAGGATTCCAGTGATTGAGTTGATTAAAGAAAAACAAAAATTTAAGCGGAAATTGCATTGCGTGTGCGTGAAGATACACTGAGTACAGTTTTCGGAGATGAATATCGAACGAGTTCTAATAGTAGCGAAAAATGAACACGTGTGAAGGTAGACGAATACGTCTGCCCATAATTTTATTTATTTATCATCAACACGAAATTATTCTTAAATTTACTCGTGAGCATGATGTTTGTAACACTGCCAAACTGAAACGTGAAAATATTCAGTGATTTTCTTAATTTACGTATAAGCAATGCTCTTTAATTTGTATGAGATACGTAACAAGCCTAGTTTGGTGGCTGAAATAGGTGAGCCAGAGGTAGGATAGGTTACTAATTTGAACTTTTACCATGCTCAGTGTAAAAGAAACGATAACCTAAACAGCGTAAAATGTCTAATATTACTTTTTCTTAATAATAGTCATGAATGATAAATGATTTACTAAAAATGAAAATTTTTAGATATACGATATTTTAGGTATACGCATCTAGTTAAATGTAAAAATATATTACACTTACGTCCTAACATTATTATATATATTATTTTAGTATAGCCAACTGAAAATCCTTTTGAACTTTGTGTTGTATAAAAATACAATTAGGTAATATAGCAATTTGATATTGTAAGATTCTCACACGGTGTCTACAGTCTTACAAAATGTTTCATTGAAGTTTAAGTTTTAAATGTGAACATATTCCAATTATTTCATTACCCCGTGGTCCCTTACAATTTCAATAGTCACCTATATATAAAGATACTGCGTACCGAATACAGGAAACATAAAAGGTCTCTATTGTGAGTTTTCAAAAGACTAGCTATGTTAATACGTTCTCCATCATATACTATGTACTTAACATAGCTGCAGCAGGACATATGCTTGATCACTGAATTTATAAATAGTGGACTCTCCTCTTATTAATAAATATATGAAAATTATTTACATACGTATCATTAAGTCATTATTATAATAATAGCACATGACAATTCACTCAGCGTCATCAAGTCCCATGCTAAGCAGAGCTTGTGTTAAGAGCACTGGACAGAAGATATAAATACCTGCATATATGCATTTTTTGTAGATGCATACATAATATATATAGAAAACATCGAGATCAATAAAAACAATCATACTCATGGTTACTAATGTTTGCATCGTGCGAGGAATCGAACCCGCGACCATCGAAAGTAAACTGGTGAGCTGAACCGTTAGACCACCAAGACCGTTAAACTGTTATATTTAATGAACTATTTATAATTGTAGAACATATATTTTACGCAAAACTGTGCATTTAATTCCCATTCTTAGGCCCCGCTATTATGGCTCGTGTTAGAAGACTGAGTGTCACCGATGACGGAGAAACATGTAAGATTGAAATGTCATTCCCACACGCCTATTTTCGGCTCATAGCCTTTATAATTTAAAATAGCAACCATATTTTTATCATTGACGCCTCAACAAGCATGTTATTCGATAATCTACATCCCAATAATAGAAATTTGCTCGTTTCATACGACATTAGTACGTATATTCTTCTCGCATGAATGCTGTATCATTAGGAGATATGTTATTACCAACATTACTGCTTCCTTTTATGTCTTGCAGAGATTACTTTTTCAAAAAATATGTTTGTCATATTATAACTGTAGGTACTACCATAATTATTAGATTTTACTATTGTTTTAATTATAAGTTTAGTATTTTTATTGTTTTTTTCCTATCGATGTCTGACATTAGTGCAAACTTTAGGTAAAAGTTAATAGTTTTATGTCGAAATTATTATTTCTAAGTGTATGTTTTATTTATTTTTCAGTAACGCCCCCTGCTCAGAGAGTTCAATTTATATTAGGAGAGGATATTGATGATGCAACACTCGAATCACATCCACTTTTCTCCGAAATGGAAGAACTGGTTAAAGATGGAGATGAGCTCGAATGGAAAGAAACAGCTCGGTGGATCAAATTTGAGGAGGATGTGGAAGAAGGTGGCAACAGATGGTCAAAACCCCACGTAGCTACACTTTCCCTGCATTCACTTTTTGAATTACGAAGTCTTATTCTAAATGGTTCAGTCATTTTGGATATTGAATCCAGTTCATTAGAACAAGTAGCTGATAGTGTTTTAGATAATATGGTGGCCGATGGCTCTCTAGGATATGACTCAAGAGAAAAAGTGAAAGATGCTCTGTTAAGACGACATAGACACCAGCATGAAAAGCGAAATCATAATATGTCGAGGCTGCCCCTTATCCGATCATTGGCTGACATTGGAAAAAATCATTCCTCTTCCAAAAGTGAGTGTATAATTTTTCCGACATTTAGTTCTCAATTAGCATGTGATGTAATTAACTATACCAGATTATTCCCCAATTATAGCAATAGTTGTATATTTAAAATCTATTAATAGCAGAGAGTCTATAAGTATTGGAAATCCATCAGACTTCCAGGAGGGTGGCTCTCGACGCTCTAGTGCAAGGAGTTGTCGGGGGTTTACCTCATCCCCTCACACTGCTCTTCTTGAAGCAACCGACAATAGAGGCTCTTACCTAGCTGTTCCAGGTCAGCCATGCGTGAACAACGGTAACATTTGTGCGAGCTGACTGAATTCACCCTTTGTCTGATGTCGACACTTTATGCACTTATATGCTAATATAAATGTTGTAAATAATCACTTATGTATGTTAAAAATATATATTATTATTTTATACTGATGAATTACACTTATGGTATGAAAATTGGCATTATATTATATTACAGTTGATGAAGGCGGTACTACAACTGGGCATTCCTACAAAGGAGATTTCACTCGTTTCCTAGGCATCCCTAATGCGGGTAACCGCTTATCCTTTTAAACTGTCTCCGTGTTGTTTCTTCATATCTTATTTACAATACATATTTATTTTCGTTTCTAAATTTCTAAAATTTTCAATGGTTTTCCATTCTATAATCATTAGATACCATTCATTACTCTTCACAGCTGATAAACAATGCTATTTTTACCGCTTTCGCTCATGCTTCTTTTATATATTTTTCTATTATGTATATGTATAGTAGTACTAAATACATCACATAAAACTTGCTCTGAGTAGGTACACATGTACAAACATTTTATACTCAGAAATACTTTAATCACACTGCCATTAATATTCTATCATATGTAGATAAGTATATGAAAACTATTATTAAAATATAGTCACAGTTTATGACGCACAGTGTGTTTAGTGTCTATTTTTAAATGAAATTTAGTCTGCTTTTCAATGTATTTCTATATTTTAATGTAATAGAATATTAAGAAATCTTCCTAATTTTAGGTACAACGCAAGATGAAGGTATGGTTAAAAGTCCAAGTACCATATCGATGCATCGCAATCACAGTTCTGGAGATCTTGCAATGAACGGCGATATAAACCATAAGAGTAATACAAATTTTATGCGTAAAATACCACCGGGAGCAGAAGCTTCGAATATTCTGGTTGGTGAAGTTGACTTTTTAGATAAAACTTTATCTGCCTTTGTTAGATTGAAAACTGGAACAATAATGGGTGATCTGACTGAAGTTCCTGTACCTACACGATTTATGTTTGTATTACTGGGCCCACCAAATAGTAACTCTAGCTTTCATGAAATTGGTAGAGCAATGGCTACTTTAATGTCAGATGAAATATTTCACGAAGTAGCGTATCGAGCTAAGAAAAGAGACCATTTATTAGCTGGGATAGATGAATTTCTTGACGCTGTAACAGTTTTACCGCCAGGAGAATGGGATCCTGCTATTCGTATTGAACCTCCAGCTGCAATACCCTCTCAAGACCCTCGCAAACGCCCTAATGATAACAACCACAAAGAAGAACAAGACGAAGAAGAAGAAGAGCAAAGGCAGAGAGAAGAATCTGGATTAGCAAGAAGTGGGAGACTCTTTGGCGGTTTAATGAATGATCTCAAAAGAAAGACACCATGGTATTGGTCAGATTTTAAAGACGCATTAGCACTGCAGTGTATAGCTTCTTGGATATTTCTTTATTTTGCATGTTTATCACCTATAATCACATTTGGAGGTTTATTAGGTGAAGCCACTGGAAAGAATATGGCGGCGATGGAATCGTTGATATCTGGATTTGTATGTGGCATGGGATACGGGTTCTTTTCAGGTCAACCTTTGACAGTATTAGGGTCAACAGGACCTGTACTCGTTTTTGAAACCATAGTATTTGAATTTTGCAAACAAGTAGGGTGGAATTATATGTCATTCAGATTTTGTATCGGCACATGGATCACAATAATTTTAGTGATTTTAGTAGCAATAGATGCTAGTGCATTTGTTTGTTACATAACAAGATTTACAGAAGAAAATTTTGCTACATTGATCGCATTTATATTCATTTATAAGGTAAAATTTTATTTCATTTATAAGGCAAAATATTTTCTTAAATAGAATATGAATAATATATAGTAGCGCTTTAATGTTCTTAATCAAATATATCAAGATATTTTTAACTTTTATTATTCACAGGCAGTGGAAAATGTAATATCTATTGGAAAGAAATACCCACTGAAAACACGCCCCGACGAAGTTCTAAATTATGAGTGTTATTGTTTGCCAAGTAATTATTCGGAAGTGCCCGAACAGTTTAATTGGACTACAGTCGACAAGGAAACATGCCAAGTAAAAATATGTCTACATAATTTAACCTGATATTTACTAGAACAGTTGATGTGTAAATTTTATAAGAGCAATTATTTTTATCCGTTAAGTAGCCATCCACAAATTACGTTACACGTTACGGGGGAGGGTGGCGACAAAGTATGACATTGTGTGACAAAGCGATTTAAATTTCGTTACTTTATAAAATTACGTTATAGATCTGAAATATCTAAGTATTAAAACAAGAAAATAGATCTAATTCTACCTTACAAGGGCTAAATATGGGATCAAAAAAAACTATTGTAATGTAATTTTTAATGCCCTCAAACTCAATCATGTTCATCAAGCCAGTAATAAAAATTATTTTAAGCACCTCTCATTACTCGTCAGAAATCTGATTTTAAATCTGTAACTAATATTAACCTATTGTAATCACTCTAAGAAGGCTTGTTTTAATTTTTTGCGTCCTCGATTTTTTCCTCTATTGTATTGAGACAAATATACTATGAAAATAAACTAATTACATTTTATTATTATTCCGTTACAGAATCATTATTTAGGTTTAATTCCAAAATATTAATATGTTTCAGGTATATAACGGAACTTTGGCCGGAGGAGGGTGCGATACAATAGTATATGTACCAGACGTTTACCTGATGTCCATCATATTATTCTTAGGAACGTTTATGATTTCAATAATTTTGAAAGACTTTAAAAATTCTCTATTTTTTCCATCTAAGGTACAAATATGTTAACTTGTATGTCTATTTAAGTATTATTAATTATTCAAAAAGTATATTATTAATTTCATATAAATTATTTTAGGTGAGACAAATTATCAGTGACTTTTCTGTAATAATAGCCATATTGTCAATGTCTTTCTTGGATTATAAAGTTGGAGTGAAAACACCAAAATTAGAAGTACCGTCGGAATTCAAACCTACTCTACCCTCAAGGAATTGGGTAATAACACCTTTCAGTGGCAATCCTATTTGGTCTGCATTGGTAGCTATACTCCCAGCACTACTAGGAACTATTTTAATATTCATGGACCAACAGATTACAGCCGTAATCGTAAACAGAAAAGAGAATAAGTTGAAGAAGGGATGTGGCTACCATTTGGACCTGTTTGTATTAGCAATTTTGATACAGATCTGTTCAGTTATGGGATTGCCATGGTTTGTAGCTGCAACCGTACTAAGCATCAATCACGTGAATTCTTTAAAAGTAGAATCTGAATGTGCTGCGCCTGGAGAAAAACCACAGTTCTTGGGTGTGAGAGAGCAAAGAGTGACTCATATTCTGATATTCTTGACAATTGGATGTTCGGTAGTGTTAACTCCCGTATTAAGTCATATACCTATGCCAGTATTATTTGGTGTATTTCTATATATGGGTGCGGCATCACTAAAAGGTCTTCAATTCTTCGATAGAATCCTGATAATGTTCATGCCTCAAAAGTATCAGCCAGATCACATGTTTTTAAGACAGGTGAGAAAATTTTCGATATTAAATTCTGTAAGCTCTTAATGTAATTATTATAATTTTAAAATACTATGTTTTAGGTGCCGATCCGTCGCGTTCATATTTTTACAGCAATTCAATTAACATGCTTAGTCTGTTTATGGGTAATAAAATCATTCTCCTTGACATCCATACTCTTCCCATTGATGTTGGTAGTAATGATTGGGATCAGGAAATCTTTGGATTGCTTTTTCACTAGACGGGAATTGAAAATACTGGATGATGTAATGCCAGAAATAACAAAGCGGAACCAGGATGAGTTACGGGAACTGGGAGACGTTGAGGTGGGATGGCATGCAAAGATACTAGGCTTTTGTCGACTAAATTAAATCTTGTATTCTGCAAATCACTTTTTGTTTAGTCATCCCGCCATTAGTACCAATCGTTTACTTTTTGTTTACTCAATAAAGTCTGTGTTATTTTCATGCACATGCATTTTATTTTCACCATAATAGGTCTTACTTTCCTTGTCCGTTTATTTTTTTCATCTGATCTACTTGCATTCTCATCTACGTAAGAATTGGTAAGTGTAGTATTCAACGTTTAGTTTCCTTATTCTGTATTTATTATTTGATTAAATATAAAAATATTATTATCGATAAAGTTTTTTTCCAAATAGGATCCCTCAAAGACTAATCCGCCGCCGTATGAGGAAAATCTACAAATCCCATTAATAAATGGAAACATAATGAACATCCCGCTAGCATCAATTAACATATCCGAAGAAGTAAACAAAACAGGGATATGGAAACAAGTAAACAATAGTAATAAGAGCAAAAACAAAAGTGACCTGAAAGATCACAAGCCTAAAGTGTTGAAGAAAACGTAAGTATCTAATATGGGCATAATAAAAATAAAATGTAATATGTATATACCATAAGTATATATTTATATTGTAAGATAGTGTTCGGAATACGGAAAATTTTAAATCTCGTTTTTATATTAAATTATAATATATTTTATGAAATATGTAGTTACCAATAAGTAAATATTTGTAGTAGTTATTGGGTCGGTTTTCATTCGCTATAAATGTATATCTATCATTTTATAATTAAATCTAATTTAAACAAATTAGACATAGACCTACAGAACCAAAATATTTCATATATATTATTTCTATTTATGTATGAAAAACTCAACAACTAACAAATTAAGAAAAATATTTCATATATAATTTCAGTAACAAGCACAAAAAAATGACAAAAACCACACTGTCGGAAATTGAGAGAAGACTGTCCACAATGGATGAATTGGAAGAGGATGAGTCCGTGAAGGTGTGCGTTAGTGACACCAAGTTCTAAATGGCGCGCATGTCCACATACCCTGGTCACAGCACGATAAAGTAAAATGCGCATGGTCACCAACGCATGAAGTTAAGCAAACCCTTTTAGATTTAGCACTTTATTTTTCTAAAAGTAATCTGAATGTTTTTTTTCTGTACTTTTATTATCTACACCCAGTGGCGTAACGATAAGGGTGGCAGTGTGCGCAAAAATACTAAAGTCGGCCAAAGTTTCTAAACGCCAAGCGCCGTGAGAGCTGGAAGAATTTAATGTTTGTTAAATAATTTAGTAACAAAATGTGATTAAAAAAATATGTAACTGCAGCGTGCTAAATTCAATAAATTTATAACAGGTCTCAGTATAGTTACGCCACTGCCTACGATATTAATAAATTTGTATTTTTGTATTATAATTAATTTTGTATGTAGTTTAGTAAGTAGTATTTATTATTATTATTATATTATACATCATTCTTGTGGTTTACTACACCTACTTATATACCATGGTACCATGGTAATGAGTTCAAATACGAACGATATCAATAAACTCTGTGTATAAAATATTTCTGATGTACATTCCGGTGAAGAAAATATCGAAAATAAATTGAAATTATTATTATGGATGGAGCCTCCCCGTTCTCATGCCATTGTATCCAAATATTCCCATCTCAAATGCTGGCATATACCTAAGTGATATTTTCTCACTGACGTCATCAATTGACAACTGCCTCATCTCTTATGAGAACATGCCGATATTTTTTTATTATTCAATTAATTTTGTGCATACACTTGTAATATTTTTGTCAACACTCTAGACCCTTCCATTAGTACCGCTCCAGATAACATAGATTTAAGTTAAGTCCACATTACGACTCCGCGTCGAATGTACGCGTTACTAATATCTAAGCAATGTAGCACTCTGTCCAATAAACGTACTAATGTGCAATACATGGTACGATTATTTCACCGGTACACTCATTACGATACTAGATGCGACAATAAACAAATAAATTCTGTAGCGACACCTCCTCACATCATAGTTCATCATACGTAACGATACAGTGCTGAGGTGATAACCACGGCGCTACAATCTAATAATTCAGTATTATAACACTACAATATTGTATGTAAGTTACCTAACAAATCTTAATTCTAAAAAAAAATATATACCTCAGGAGCTCAGAAAAACTAAGTGTTCAGTACTGTAAGCCTCGTAGAGTATACATATATTATAGGTGCCTCGTAGATATAGGATAAAATATTTCTTAACTTTTTAGAAGGTACTTATTGTAGTCATATCGTATTGTAATGGATGTGTTCCAGATAACTGATAGAAAAAAAAAACAGTAGCATTATACCTAATCCGCAAATATTTCAGTAGCTAGTATGTAATAATATTTAGAATTCGTACTATAGGAAATTTGAACATTAGTACAAAATTCGACGTCTATTTATTTATTATTCCTAATAAAAAGTACCTAGGTGGACGCCAAATTTCGACAGATAGAATTAGTCCATAAATATCTCATACAGAACAAACATAATGACACCACAAGGTTTCTGTTTTAACTATTTGTAATCATAAAAAAATATGCAATATATTATACATTTTTTTTTACATCTCTATACTTTTATTGTAATTAACACGCAGTATAGATGTAAATGCCTACAAACATTAATTGTATTATTATTATTTTTTTATATACAATAAATGTTGCATGCATTACACGCTGGGTATGTACTTTTTATCTATGATAGTCAGCAATTAGTTTTGTATAATAATATTAAGCCACATATTAATAATATGTTGATGTCTATATCTACGTATGTAGAATATACCGTCCTCTGATTGATTTCAGAGTGAAGTACTCAGGCGCAAGGAATCTTGGAGTGGAGGTTTAAAAAAAAGTGATTCTAGAAAAAATAGCTCATCAGCTGAAACTTCGGTCTAAAATATATAATTTATTAGTTAATTTGGGTAGCTTATTAGATTAAGTTAATTATAATAAGTTATCTGTTGTTTTTACTGTTACTGTGTAATTGATGTAGGTAATATAATCAAGGCACTATTAAGCAAATGCAAGTAAATGTAATATAGTTTTACCTACCATAATCAGATGAAAGTAAGAACCGAGGAAAATTGAGAGAAATATAGCTATACATATACAGTATGTCTACACATAATAGGTAAAGAATCCAAACGTCATATTTAGATGACCTTTTGACATGTCATAATTTAGTCATTTTGTTTTCTGTGCTTTCAATTTTAATTATTATAATACCTATAATTAACGGATCACGATGTTTAATAAAAGTACCTACTTATTTACGTCGCTGATTTGGTAAAGAAAAATGTGAGTGCGTATTTTTTAAACATGTATTTTTTTAAATACGGTATAGGTATATAATCGACTTTTTAGCAATTTTTATCGGATACCCTAATCTATTATACCTATTAATTAGTCTTTAGCATAGTCGTAAGTTATGAATATCTAAGTAACTATATAGAAATTTGTAATGAAGATTAGGTACGTTCAAATTAATTGAATTCTAAGAAAAACACCGCAAGAATTATATTAAATCTATATTTGATTTCGCAATCCAATACTATGGTATTCATTTGTCTGTTTTATAGTATCTATATATCTAATAGGTTTCATTTAGCACATGCAATTTTAGCAGAACCGAATAAAAATTGTTTTAAAATAGATAAATCAACTATTAAACAATAACATCGTAAAACTTCACAAACATTGCATAATTTTGTAAAGGAATGAATGATTTATGAATGAACGAATGAATGATTTAATATACCTATATGGTAAATAGTTACAAGTAGAATTATTTAATACATAAGTAAGTATTAAAAAGAACCGGCTTTCTAGACTTGTGCATTATTCTCAGCAATTCATGACAAGCAATTTAATTACCGAACAAAAATAGTAGACACCTACAATACCTAAGTATGTTCAGTTGGAGAAAGTATTGTGGATCTTTGTGAAGTGTTTAATCGAATTATTCCAGAAAAAATTGATATTGTGATAAATATATAATATGCATTATAATATTTCTCCAGCTGTATCTAATAGACCTTTTGATATTTAGAATAAAGCATCATACGTTATTAGTGATTAATAGATAGGTATAGCCGGTCATATGCAAATGTAAACGAAGTGCCAAGAGTATAACACCATTTAGTAATTATATTATCATGAATTCTTATCAATGACATTACCAAAGACAACACCCCTCTGCCACAATTTTAGACACTATGAATTGTGAAATTGCATTAACAAGAACTATAAAATATGAAACGTTTAGTAGTTCTTGTTAATACAATTCTAAAAACTCATAATGGGACCTCGTCATCCCAACACTCTTTACAGAATAGTATTTTCTTAATATGCCACCAATGAAAATGCGTTTATACTGCGCCCTTAGTAAGAGAAGCCTCTAAACTCGCCTGGCTATAGAAAGCTAAAATATATATAGAGATAAAATATATATAAAAATGTAGATAGAGCTTTATTATAATTGGTGAAAATTAGCATTGTAATGAACATTGCGATAAGTGTAATTTTTCTTTTATATAGGTATGTTGCCCAACATACGCTTAAAAGGAAGGGGGGCAACGTGGATAGCTGCTCCCGCTAAAATTTGTATGCGCTACAGTAGGTACAATACAGTACCTATTCATAAAAATATGATAACGTCCTGTCTTAAAAATCTGATTTACCTCTTTGGTCAAAAAATACACTGACATGCCTGTTCATCCCTGGATCAAAAGCTAGAAAGGGACCAGGGGGACTAATAACCCCACTGTTGAAAAAGTATGGATACCAATGCAGATTGTTTTGCGAAATTGTCTTGCGGTTCCCCCTAGAAACCATCGTTATAAATTTTTCGTGAATTTGCCAGGATGAGCAAACTAACCTGATTATGAGGTCAGGTAAACATGAGCTGATCTTATCATCCGCCCGCGTACAGTTAGCGCAGGTGCACTATTCCATTAAAATACGATACGTAAGTTGTGAACAAAATTGACTACAGTCTTGGGGTACCACCTTTTTGGTAGTGTCATCGACAATGACTTTTTTTATAGTTTGACCCATATTGTAAGATTAGATTAAGTAGACCCCACTTTTACTTACCTTCTTGTACCTAGAGGAGAGACTTCCAAAAGTGCGTATTAAGGATTTTTGACATTATCTGTTCACTATCAGATGAACTTTTGCTTGATTTCCTTATTCCTTATTTGCAACCATGTCAATAAAACAAAATATATAATCAACTAGAAAATGTCTTCAGTATTCTATGATATATTCGTCCTCAACAATGTCAGTTTAGAAGTTCCTATAGCCATCTTTTATCTCCATCACTATAGTTTACACTATCACCACAACATTAACCGTAGCGCGTTGATCACGTGTCTTCTGACAACCTCGGTCCTTTTTAGCACATCACATTATTTACGATGGTCGCAGCTTTGATTCTCGCACATTAAACACTATTACTATTCAAGAGATTCAGATGTTAGTAAGTCTAAAAATAAGGTTGCATATTTGGACAAATTACATACGACAGAAAATTGTATACATTGTCATTTATACGTTTAGCATTTATTATCTACCTATTTTAACTATACTAATTAGGACTTCTATGTCTATTTACCATTAAGTAGGTATATTTATACACTATGTTTACCACAATATTAATTAATTAATAGAATGACTAAAATCCATAAAAATATGTAAGTCAAATACATTTCTAGTTTCAGTATAATTTTAATATATATAACATGTAATGAGGTGACATTACATGTTACATTTATTGAAATTAATTCACAGAACTTCATAAACTTCATAGAACTTATTTCATTTTTATATATTTTAGTCAATTGTTATATAAGTTTATGTAAGGCAAGTAATTAATTTTTAAGAGAACAATTATTATTATTGTACCTGGAGAGATGCAGTTGTTAAGTGATTTATAATGTTTTTGTAATATATTTGTGTATTATGAAAAAATTAATTTTTATAAATGTACATTATATATTACAATGTACTGAATGGCTTTTTTATTCATTAAACCCTAGTTATGAGTGTCTGAAACGAAAACATGTGTTTTGAAATCTAAATTTACCGAAACTAGAGAGAAAATTTTACGTAGATTAAATAAATTTTGATATCCAAGAAAGACTAATTTAGTTATGACTAATAAAATTATTAATGCATAGCATTAATAATTTCTCTATTATTTATGCCTTTAGTCAATAAAGACAATCAAAGATTTTTTTATTATTTAAACACAAACATCTTATTGTGAAACTGCTAACCAAATCAACATTACAAAAGGTATAGAAAGATGATTTCTCAGAACAAAATACATAACACATATGAATTTTATACTGGTTTAATTTAACGAATATATTAAATTACTCTTAAATAAATAAAATTATTCTATAAAACAGAGGCGGTTCAATTCTTCTTCTTCTTTTGGTCTGGTACTAGGCCCATTTCTTCTTGATATTTCCTGATCAGTTGTTCCTGTACATCAGGCAGGCAAGGTGAATAACGACTGTACTCCATACTGAACTCACCCTTACCTTGAGTTTGAGACCTGTATACAAAAACCAAATACTTCATTAAAAATCTAAATATTGTTCTTATACATCAGTAAAATCCGTCATGAAAACACCGCTTCGTGTCGTGATCTAGTGATTTACAAACATAGCTATCGACGGCCTCGGGGGTCTAGTAGTTTAGCACACCGCTTTACTACTGCTGGTCGCGGGATCAGTTCGTCGCTCGGTTGCACCGCATTTCTAATTATGAGTATGATTGTTTATATTGATCTGGGTGTTTCCTATATATATAATGTATGTATTAAAAAAAAAATAAGTTTGTAGATCAGTTAGACTAAAAAGATTTTTACATGGATACCTCAGTGTAACATATTTTGGCCACTAAGCAGCTTCTGTATTATTCTGTATAACAATATTATATGATTGCGCAAAAAAATGAATCCGTAGCGGGTTCCATGTTGATTGTCCTTGTTAATGTGTATTTATTTAACAGAGTGCATTCATATTTCCTGCTCATTCTTCTGATGAATGAGTCTACGTACCGAATTAGTGGCGAAATAAAAAAAATATTACTAAAAAGTCTCTATCTCTCTAATATCTATCTATTTCTACTATTTCGCTTCATTGATACATAAAGTACCAATTACGATATTTTTTTGATAAATATCTTACCGGAGCTCGCCAGCATATCCGAACATATTATTCAATGGGACCTCAGCATACAACGTCGTCCACCCTTCAGTTCCTTCTGTTCCAGTTATGATACCTCCTCGCTTGTTCAGGTGTCCTAGTACGGCGCCGTGAAACTCATCAGGTATTACTACTTCTACGAACATGATTGGCTCGAGGATCTGCCACGCGCCATCTTCGAATACTGCAAAAATATGTTTATATATTTATTTTACTTTGTACGAAATCATCTGCGTGGATACCTGAGTGTCACCAAATCTTACCGTCAACATATTTATTTTGCTTTATAAGCTGCGCTTCTGTCGAGAAATGAGACATGGCAGCTAAATAACTAGGTACAGAAGCATGTAATTTTTTTTTTGACATGACTATCCTTTGGTATAGTAATACGAGTGGTACCGCGAAACTCATATGGTAACGTGATGTCCGTGATACTTTTCATGTATGTAGGCTATTACCACTCACCATCATCTGGGGCGTCAAATAGTATGTCATTCCATATAAATATAAAAAAATAGGTTAATTTTTAAATACACACCATCTTTAACAGCTCCTTTGGCTGCCAGAAAGAAAGCCAGTTCACTGGAGTCCACTATATGGTGGGCGCCATCTTGTAGCCGAAACTTCACACCGGATATCTTGTGTCCAGATAAATAACCCTTTTGGCACGTGTCAATAAATCCTCTTTCCACACCAGGTACAAATTGCTTCGGAATATTGGTTCCTACTGTTTCGTCAATGAACTCCAACACTGAAATTAATTTAACAATTATATTAGTCAAAATTGGATAGGAGCTAATAATAATCAGTTTAATATGAACTCTATATCCTCTATACTAAATATAAAAACTGATCTGTAGATCAGTCAGTCGAAAAATAACGCAATCATTGAAAAATATGGGACAGTTATCTACATACTCCAATGTATTTTTATCAGCTGTATTTGTAATTAATTAAGATTAAGTAAGGCAAACAAAACATTATATACTAAGCACTGCACAAAACGTGTCACCCTTCCTTACTGTTAGCCCAGTCATTTCACCTCGGAATGAAAGATAATAAGCTGTAAATGTATTCATATGAGGTTGACCCCTTTTTTTACCTAATATGATCGGGATATGCTATTATTTAGTATATAAGATCAATTCATAAATACATTATAGTATGTACATTTCGTCTATTCACTCTCATCTGTTAATATACATCGTCGTACAATCTACAACATCGTATTACTATACCACAACAAAAAGCCAATAGATATTAGAGTGAGTGACAGCGGACGCAAGATTCCATCGGGGGAACGAATCAGGAAATGTTTTAGGTAATGAATTTTCATTCTGTAGCATTGTCTGATTTTAATTTAAAAAAAAATGTAATACATACTAGTATTCTGATGTGGAGGTAGGGGCTCGAGGATGCCAGTTATTTTAGCAAACTGACCAGCGCCGCCAGACTGCTTCTTATGCAAGTAATCAAAGGAACAAGACGACATTAATGTCTCCCTAAAAAAAAAAACAACCATTTTGAAAAATATTTTCACTTATAAAAACCTTCTTAGATGCCAGATGCTTACAATACAGTGGAATTAAATTTCCATGTAAAGCTGAGGGGCATCACTAGTTATTGCAAAGTACATTTTGATAGCAGTTCATATACATAAAACTATACCGTAATTGGAAATTCATAGGGATTCTATCCACATTTAGCTCTGAAAACTATAAAGAATGAAACAGTAGAAGTATAGAAAAAAAATTGTAAAATAATTGTCTTACCTAAACGCTACTTTAGGTTTCCCAAGCTCCACAGGACAGTTATATTCTCGTTCCATCCTCTGTGCGTATATCTCCAGATGCAACTCTCCCATACCTGATACAATTGTTTCCTTGTTATCAGAATCATATCGGAATTGAAATGTAGGGTCCTCTTTTGTAAACCTAAAATTTTAAATAAATAAAAACGATATAATCAATTAGTAATATGACATTACCAGATTAGACATAAAAATCATCAGGTTTTCTTATAGAAGAATATATATTCTCTTTCATATCATATAATATTAAAAAGTTTCAAAAAGGGCGCGATTTCAACTCGTTCCATATATGCTTATTGAGCTAAAACTATTTTTTAATAAGCAATAGAGCACTAACTATTTAACAGAAATACGGGCGCGGATAAATTTTTAAATCGACTACAATTTGTCATTTATTTCGGACTTTTCTAATGCTGTGGGCCGCAACTGCCCTTTACAGCTTCACCGGACGATAGCAGGCGAGTGCAGATGGCACTCCAAACCCACGAAGGGCGGATACGAGAGATAATAAATAGTTTGAATAAAATATTGATAAAATTGTGATTAGCTACAATAATTCAGTTCGCACACGTTCTCTTTCTTTGGCAATTAAGTATAATCGTGGAATTTATGCATAGGAAAATTATCCTAAACCAAATTTTAATTTATATATCGAACCTGGCAACGGCCTTAGAGAAATTATCTCTATCCTTATTGTTCTTCGGCTTGATCGCCATAGATACAACGGGGTCTGGAACATGGATGGATTCCATCGAGAGATTCAGTTTGTTATCATTGACAAATGTGTCACCTGATGCACAGTCGACACCGAACAATGCGAATATGTCTCCTGCAAGCACCTCAGTCACTTCCTCCATGTTACTTGAGTGCATTCTGACAAGACGCGAAATTTTTACCTGAAATAATATTTTTCATTATAAAGAAAGACTTGTCATTACTTACTGATTTATCTAAGAACATGTAACTTAAACAGCTAAAGCTAGAAACTTCAAATGAATAATATAGCTTTCTCTTTGCTTTAGGTAGGTAGGTAAATATAGCTGTTTCTGAACTTCCCACGGAAATAAGAAACAATAGGTTCGTTCTTTCGTTCATAAAATATTGGGAGCTCATAAATAATAATATTTTGTCAATTATTCCTTTTTATGTCATATAATAATACACATTATACTTATCCTGTATATAAGTATGGATTAATAAATAAAAACTTACCTTTTTGGCAGTTCTAGCATTAAAAATATATTCGCCACGTTTTAAAACACCCTGATAACATCTGAGATAAGTCAGCTGGCCGAACTTGCTTAATTCTAACTTAAAGGCTAAACCGACGAATGGTTTTTTGCCATCTCTTGCCGCATCCAATATGATATTCTGACCCTCGCCATCTGTGTCTTCATTCAAAATAGCTGTATTTTCCACCTCGCCAGGATGCGGGAGGTAATCTAAAACTGCATCCAGTAAAGGTTGCACGCCCTTGTTTTTAAGTGCTGTTCCCAATAGAACTGGCGTGAATGAACGGTTGAGCGCCGTACGACGAATAGCCTGTTTAATGTCAATGACTGATGGTGTTTTTTCTTCCAAAAATATTTCACCTATAAGGCACAAAATTGAAGAATGTAAAAAATTTATGAATCTTAGTAAAAATTTGACTAATGAAACACTTAAACAAATCAAGATATCTTATTCTTGTGTTGCAGATACTTATGATGAGTCAAATCAAACATCATATCAGAATTTAGTTTGAGTTGAGAAAAACTGTCAAGAAACTCTGTTGCCATCTGAACAAAAATCAATTACAATGATTTTTGAACCTACAGATTCATGCAAATTATATATTGCTTTAAACAATACATATTCACTTGTACAAAACTCAGAGAAAATTGAGTTTTTATTCTGTCAAAGCTCTGAGATATAACAGAATTATAAAAATGTAGAATCAAACTCAAAATATGTATAAGAAATCTTACCTATTGTCTCATCAACATTAGAAAGATGCTCAATCAACTCATGTCTGCGTTCCTGTGCCTCTGTTCTTTTATCCTGTGGGATCTCATCCAACCGCACCTTTTCACCATAATCACCATCAAAATATATTGCTTTTTCTTCAACAAGATCTACAATTCCTTGACATTCCTTTTCTAAGCCAATAGGTAAGTGAATAAATGCAGCATTGTGGTTCAATTTGGTTCGCATTTGTTTCAATACCCTGAAATTTTAATTAGTAATAATTTACTATATTGTATTAATAAGCAAAAAATAGAAGAATATACTAATTTTGTAACCATTTAGTGTCATAGAAATATGTATATAAATAACAAAAATATTAGAATACTGTGCAAATAATTACATTATCTATGCTGCATATTTATGCATATAACTATGTTCTTATTAATTACAAATATGTATTATCATATAGGAGTCCATAATCCCAAAGAAATAGAGATGAGAAAATATTTAAAAAAAGTGTTAACTGCATTATCACAATATCCATTTAATATGAAAAGTTCATAATTTATCATCAGATTTCCATTTTGTTTGTAAGTAAAAGCACTTCAGTTTTATTCTACCTGTGATTCTTTATAACATTTGCAACTAACCATATATATCAACTTAGAACATGGTCTGTATAAGCAACCAATTTAAGTCAACACCATTTAACATATTATTAAAGTCTTACTAATATAAATGCGGAAATTTGTGACAGTGGCAGGATGGATGGGCGTTAATCTTTCACATACTACTGAATGAATTTTAATAAGTTTCCATAGCTTATACAAATAACACATAGACTATAAATTACACATAGGTGAAACTGTGGGCATAGCTACCTAATAAATATTAAAACAACATACCTCTCTGGATTAGCTCCCATTCTATCAAGTTTATTTATGAATGCTAGACATGGTACACTGTACCGTTTCATCTGTCGGTTAACAGTTAATGTTTGACTTTGGACACCACCCACTGCACAAAGGACCAACACCGCACCGTCTAATACTCTTAAGGCTCTCTCCACTTCTACGGTGAAGTCTACATGTCCAGGAGTGTCTATGATGTTGATATTATGTTCTTTCCATATTGTGTATGTAGCAGCTGACTGTATGGTGATACCTCTTTGCCTTTCCAACTCCATTGAGTCCATAACTGCACCAACATTGTCTTTACCTTTAACCTGAATAAAACAAATTATAAGAAGCTTTAAAGAATGTACACTTAGATGGTATGGACATATTCTTTGGAAACCCGAAAGCCACATTGTTAAAAAGAGGATGTGGCAGGCTACCAAGTACCTAGTTGAGTAATGTCCATAGGGACATTACAGAGTTTCTTTTTAACAATGATATTGGAATGGTGCTGCCACCTGTGCTAACGGTTTACTCTGGTGGCACACCAGTGGAGGATAATAGGATGAGCATGAGGTCAGGTCAGTTAGCCCATCATGACAAATGAAACAGGAATTGACATGATGGAGTTAGGCCTGTCAAATAACTATGCTTACAAGCTAAATGCATGGCGCCTTAAAATTAGGAATGCCGACACAGTGTAACATAGGAGGCGTGGATGATGAAGAACACCAGAATGTTCTCTCTCAGAGGTTAAAAAATTAAGGTTGGATAATTAATGTACGGTGTTAAGTAATTAGTGAATAATAATAATAATTAATAAATCTACTTCATACAACAAACCTCATGCATTTGATTTATTCTCCCTGTGTAAAATAAAATTCGTTCTGTCAAAGTGGTCTTTCCAGAATCAATGTGGGCAGAAATACCAATATTTCTGATCTTTTCCAGAGGCTTGTGTTCTGCATATTTTATGTGTGTGGAGTATGTCTGAAATTGGATAAGTCATTAAAAATAAGAAATATAACTAAAAAATACTAAAAGTATAATAAACCATATAATATAATAAACAACAAAGGTTACATAAAAACCCCGGTAATAGAAAGAAGATTTAGACAATTACTTCGATTTGTAAATTTAATTTACTCGATTTTTTCACAATATTCGTTATCCGCAACAAATTAAATATGGTCATTATGAAGTAATAATAAAAATTATATCACAGATAAAACGTAATCATCAATTAATGAATTTATATTATTGGAATTAATCTGAATTGATCTGGTTAAATAAGATGTGTTTTGAGGTTATAAAATGAAGACGAAATGTCATAATCCAACATTCTGACTTTGACATTAACAGTTTGATTATAGTGGTAGCTATGTGGTCTGAAGTATTCGACTTATTAATCTTACATTTTATAACTGAAAAAGTATAATTCGAATGAATTACTGTTACTAAGTGCATAGTGACTATTTCAAAAGCAGTGTTAGAAAATAAATTTATCTACAAAAGTAAAGACTTTATTACATAGGCATAAAAATTAGTGGGTTGGTGCTGTGCAGTGTATGTTTTTTGTGTAGTGTGCTTTTTTATAGTATGAATAGTAATAATTACACACGTTCTAGAGTAATTCTCAATACATAAGTTTAAAGTCGGTAGACTATTCAACCAAAAATTATTAAAAAAAAAAACAGTTCAAACTTGTTGTAGCATTCTCTTTTTCTACATACAGTTTTGCCCTTATAGTGCATCTCACTGGGTTTTCCCTTTGCACCTCTGTATATATATATATATATAAACTCTATGGATACTTCTTCAACCTCTACACATGTAATGTAATGTTGTATATAAACTAGTATGAAGTTGTCTAGTTTACTTTATTATGTTGGCGGACATGGATACTATAGACAAAAATTCAGTATCGTTTGAGTTCAAAAGAATATGGCCGTGTTAGGCCCTTGTGTAAGTGTAAATATGAATGGGCACAATAATATACATAGTCAGTTAACAAAGTCTCTAGAAAGAATATTAGAAGATGCTTACTTAAGTGGTGAATTAAAACTCAGTGGACGTAAATTGCGTGAGTTCCCAAAACCTGTGAAATTCGATTTGAGCGATACAGTTGTTGCTGGTAAGTTAGATTTATAAATAAATCACACTGCATTTCTAGTCTATTTACATATTATTCCATCTATTTTTGCTCATTTTATATTACTACGTTCCGTTGAAGCTTTGTAATATTTTTATCTACTGTAATAATATTGTTAGCGTGCCGGCACTCACCGTGTCCAATGTTTGTCATCGATCGAAAACGATATGAATAATTTTTTTCTCTTTCCAAGAATTGATGACGTAAGTTATTGAAGTCGCTGGCGGAAGACCCAAAAAAAAACCAATTTTTATAAGTAAACTAAATTTAATTCTAAAAATTAATTATTACAATTATATAGGTGTCTTCGGATCGATGTGTGATCCGTAAGTGCAATTATATAAAATTAAAAATCAGGGAAATGGGTATTATTGCTGTGGGGACTAAAATGCTGATTCGACGCAGGTGGTTTTCTCGGTAGCGCACCTTCTTGCGTCATGCTTGGTGGTCCGATCCGATCGCCGTTGAGGATGTGTCGTAATACTTGCTAGGTATCTACTATAACACCTCCCCGTTCAGATTAGCAATTATTTTTGAAGCTTCAGCTGAGAGAATATTGCGGACTGTGGCATCTCGGTACTGGTAGGGGTTTCAGTTTCAGGGGGCAGTTCTTCAGGTGTACCTTGATTAGTCTTATATTTCCATACTGTAATTATTATAAGACAGCCCAATATAATGATGTAAAGTGGAATCGTAGTATGAAATAGGAACGATTTTGAGGTTTGCTCGTGTGTAGGATGCTGCAAGATCGCCTTGTGCTGAATTTCATGAAGTCTTGTAAGGTCTATTGATTTAAGATTTACATGAGGTATTTTATGGTCATGGAGTTGCATATTCTGGGAGAATTGCAGTATCTTCATAGGTTGTCCTTCCACTCTATTATTAATGTTAGTTATGGTGAATTCCGGGGTATAAAGAAAGCAGTTTACTGGGATTGTTGCGAGATAACTTCCATTCAGAATACTGTAAGTTTCTTTTCCACATAGTGTATGAATTGTAGTAGCATTGGGGAATGATATTATATAGTGTCTCTCATCTAGCTCTTCCATAGCCACTTTAGATAGGTTAACTGTTGCTACTTCGCAGACTGGGTCGATAGATTGCTTGAATATAAGATTCTGTATGCAGTCAGGATGCTGTCGAAGTTGATGATCCATCTTATCTCCGCAGACATACCAATTTTCATACTTCGGGCATTCTGCCTCTATATACACATAACCTTTCCTGTTAGTTGCAATCAATGGGTAAGGAGGAATGAGGACCTGCTTATATTTATTGGGAGCTACAGCCAACTTGTATAAATCGTAACTATCTGAGGAAAATATGGGTATTTTAAAACTAATAACTATCTGATTATCTGAATAATAGAAACCTGGCTTAATTATATCGTAGTATACCCTAAGTTCTAAGTTTAATATTCTATCCTTACCATAAATCTTAACTAACTTCTGGACCATTTTGTTTAAAGTATCGATTTTAATCATAGAATGATGCATAGAAGAAGCGCGAATGAAAGCTAATATATTTTCGATTCTAAATAGTTCATTTAATACGTCGTCTATATTTTCAGTTATAATTGCTAAGTATTGAGCGAATTTAGCGTATTTTATTAGGTCGTTATCTGAGTGAGCATCGTTATCGTATAACAGCTGCAAAGTCTCGTTAATTTTTACCTGATTTTCAACTAATTTATTAACTATATCCGTATGTTGAGCCATCCACTCCTTACTGAGGCTGATATGACTTTCAAGCTCATGATTTACTTTTATGTCATTACTTTGGAGAATTTTGATAGCATTGTCATACTTAATAGCGTCAGATTGATCTAGGTTTCCCGTGATACTTTTTATTATAGAGCCTATACCATCGACGAGACCTCTCCGTACACGCTTTGGCTGTAATGTATCTAACTGATCTTTAACCTTACATAATTTATTAGATAAATATTCTATTTGAAGTTCGTATAGTATGTATGTATCATTGGTTAACATAATTTTATAATCTAATAGCTGGTTCTGTACTAATTCTAACGTATTACTAATATTATCTAATTGTACGTGCTGTAGAAAGGTATGGTAATGGGTTATAAGCCTTGTTGTTCCAAGACGGAATGGTAGCAGTCCAGGACCATCATCGAGACTCTCAAGTATTATCTCCTGATTGATCTCTTGAGGAGTTATCAAAGGAGCAACCAGGATCAGAAGCACCCTGTAACAATTGGGCACTTTTAGGGGTTCTCTTTAATCTGCGTTTTGCGACGGGTCCCTTTTTCTTTGAGGTATATATATGTATAGGAAGATCGGCAAGAACTGTATCCTGACTATATCTAGGGGCTATTTTCTGACGGCTAGCTAATGGGTTACTAATATATACAGTTTGTTGAGGTTGATATTCAAATTCTGGCTCTCTATTTTTATTACGATTTTCCATTATACGGGTGCGGCTTTCCAGCGATGCCTCTCCTATTGTGTCGTAAACTAACTGCATTCTTTCTCTATGATTTTGTATATACTGTTGAAATAGGTGCCTACTTATATCCATGTCGAGAGGATCTCGGGGATCTAAATGGCCTGTTATAATATCATAAGGTCTGCATTTTGTAAAAGAATGTATAGAACTATTATAGGCTAAAATAGCATACGGAACTAGATTAACTACGTCCTCGTCGTTATGTTTTAATTTGAGGATACGTAAATGTTCTAATAAAGTACTATGGAATCTCTCTACTATTCCATTATCATTTGGGGAATGCGGTAAAATCTTATGATGATTTATTTTATGCAAAACAGTAAATTCGTTAAATAACATATTTGTAAATTCTGTGCCGTTATCAGATACTATCGATAACGGTAGACCATGGTGTGTGCAGAATTTTAAAAGGGCTTGTAATATACTAATAGCAGTGCTATCCCGTATGTGGTATGCCTGTGCATATTTAGAAAACACATCTACGATAGTTAAATATTTTTCATGATGTATGGTGAATAGGTCTATATGTACTACTTCAAAGGGCTTTGTAGCAGGTGGAACTATACGGAATTGTGGTCGTATAGGATTGCGATCGTATTTGGCTTGACCACAAATGGCACAATCATTAATTATTTTTGTTACTTGGTCCTTCATTTTAGGCCAGTAGTAACGTCTTGATAGAGCTAAGTAGCATTCATTAATGCCGCGGTGATTAGTTTTCCCTTCATGATAATTTTTAATTATATCCTGTTGTCTTAAATATTCTTTTACATTCTCAACTTCAGACGTAGTCAATACAAGTTGCATCGCAGAGCTTTTAAACTTATTTTGAATAATTGGTACTATATCATACATTGCTAAACGTGGGTTAATAAATAGTGCGGTTTTAATTTTAGGATTAACATATTCTTTCATAATTTCTACGATATCGCTTTCTAAATTTGTCTCGGATACTTGAGCAGATATCCTTGTGTGTGTTTCAAAAGGCTTCGATGTGGTAGCACGCTTTCTGATGTCACTAACTACGGTAATGACGAGCTGTCTATGAAATTTATTCAGTGGTTGGTCAACTATTGGAATCTCTAATATTGGGTTTTCTCTACTAGTATGAGCAGATAGAGTGGATGAATTGGAAAGAGGGCGTTCAGATGGGTTGACAACCAGTGAATTAGCTTCCTCGTTGTGAATTTCAATACGAGAAAGGGCGTCGGCGTTAGTATTATTTCGTCCCTTTTTGTAAACTACTGAAAAATCGAACTCGGATAATTTTAGCTTCCAACGAATTATTCTCGAGTTCGGTTCCTTCAAACTCATTACCCATTGGAGGGGTTTATGGTCCGTGACAATTTTGAATTTACGACCAAATAGATACGGCCTAAAATATTTAGTCGCCCAGACAATAGCAAGAAGCTCCTTTTCAATCGTACTATAGTTGGCTTCACTGTCATTAAGGGTACGCGATGCAAAGCAAATGGGTTTGTCTGAACCTAATGTACCCTGGGACAATATCGCGCCTAAAGCTACATTAGATGCATCAGTCGTTAAAATGAAGTCTCTTGCAAAATCCGGGTACTGTAAAATCGGATCGTTAGTTAAGAGAGTTTTACACTTCTCGAAACAACTAACATATTCTGAATTAACTGTTACCTTCCTACCTTTTTTCAGACATGTCGTTAATGGTTTAGTAATAGTAGCGAAATCGGGAATAAACTTTCTGTAATATCCAACCAAACCAAGAAATTGTTTGATTTCTTTCGGTGTTTTTGGAAGAGGATAGTTCTGAATAGCTGTAATTTTGTCGGGGTTTGGTTTAATTCCATCCTTGGTGATTATATGCCCTAAGTAAGCGGTTTCAAGCTTGAGAAATTCGGATTTATCCATCTGGATTTTAAAATTCGATTCTCGTAGTTTTTGAAATACCTTCTCAAGATTGATCATGTGTTCCTGGAGAGAGGTACTGAATACAATGATATCGTCTAAATATACTAAGCATACAACGTTTTGAAGGTCCTTAAGAACATTGTCCATTACCCGTTGGAAGGTAGATGGGGAATTTTTTAAACCCATGGGCATGCGTAAAAATTCATAATGTCCGTTCTCAACGTTGAATGCTGTTTTAGCAATATCACTGGGTTCCATCTCGACCTGATAAAACCCACTGGCAAGATCTAAAGTAGAGAAGTATTGACAGTTTCCGAGTTTATCTAGAACATCTGTAATATTAGGAATAGGGTACTTATCGTCATATGTTTTTTCGTTTAATTTTCTGAAGTCTACTACTAATCGCCATTTAGTTTTACCCGAAGCGTCAGCCTTTTTGGGTACGACCCAAATAGGTGAGCTCCATGCAGATTCTGATGGTTGGATAATACCCTGATCTAACATCTTGCCTATCTGATCTCTAACTTCATCCCTATGTACGTATGGGTACCGGTAATTCTTTCCGTGCACTGGTATTTCGTCCGTAGTCCTAATTTTATGTTTAACTTTATTCGTAAAAGTTAATGATTCTC